ATGGCCCCTAACAATAGCAACAAAGCCACTGTGAATGGTAAGGAATTAATCTGCTAACCCAAAGGCATGGGATTTGAATTCACTAGCTCCTTCACAGGAGAAAAATGGCAGTCTCCTCCTGTGCAGTTTACTACCTCTGAAAACTCACTGGAGGGTCAACTATGAGTTGGTTCTTACTCAGTGGTACACAACAACAACAAAACCACAGGAGCAGAATTTCTGTCCTGAGGAACCTAAAATACAGAGCTAAAGCCTGGGGCTGAGGGCCTTCTACTTACAATTCAGAGGTCATGGCCAGTGCCCGGACTATGAAAAGTAGGGCCATTGGCCAAGTAATCTCTAGGGGAAAAAACAGGCTTTGAAACGTGATATAAATTGTTCTGATGCATTTTATACCTGCCTTGGTACCTATTATCTTTCTCTTCAGTTTCTCAAATTTTAATGGAAATTTATGCTTTGTTCCTGTTTTGTCATTTTGTTGTATTTTGATAACACACAACTTTGGAATCTGTATTTCACAGATTCAAAGACAAAAAGGAATTTTGCCCCGGGATGAAATATTTCTAAAGACTCACTTGTATTTACTTTGTTTGATTCAGAAGATGAGTTTTTAAACTTGAAATGAATTTAAGACTTTAGGATGGTATGATAGGATGAATGTGTTTTGCATATGGCAGGGACTTGAATTTGAGAAGCCAAATGGGAAATTGTTATGAATTATAATTGTGTCCCAGAAATATATATAGGTTTTAAATCCTGACTTCCATATATATAGTTATAATTCCATTTGGGAATGGGTTGTCTATGTTATATTAGTAAGACAGGACTAGTGTAGCATTAGTCTTGAGTCAGTCTCTTTTGAGGTATAAAAGAGCAAAGAGCTTACATAAGCAAGTGAACAGAAATGAGGGAAGAGAGATTCCAGGCCACATGGATATTGCCTGTGAGCAGAAGCTCAAAAAGACAAGGAACTTGCACATCCAAAAACTTCCCCAAGAGGGTAAAAAGGGAAGCTACAGACTGGGAAAAAGTATT